CACAACAAAGTAGCATGCCCTGGAGGCTGGGAGTCTTTAGTGTTCAACAAATCGTTTGCTTGACCTTCATGGTCTTCGGTTGAGAGACAGAAGCAAGGAAATCTTCTATAGATCTGCCCTGTCTGTATAGTGAGTTGTACAAGGAGATCAACCTTCTGTTTTTCCCCCCACCTTCTCATTGAGCTTTTGGGCCAGATTGACCTTTTCATAGCCAGAGATGTCTTCACGAAGACAGCTGATCTCTTACTAAATGTTAGCGTTTGTCAGAAAAGAGCTTTAGTGCCTGTCTAAGCATCTGGGAAATAGTAACAACAAAACCAAAGCAAGCTGGCATCATTTCCTGAATTAGTATCTTTTAAATGTCAGCCACCCATGCGGATGCTAACCATGATCTGGAAAATCCCAATAGCTCCCCCTACTCTCATTATACTACTGACTTGATTGGATTAATAACTCAGTATTTCAGAATGGAGTGGCCAACTTCATAACTCTTGAAGGTCACTCAATCCTCACGACCAGTAATTCCCAAAATGGGCTAATTGAATATTTAAGAGCATGTACCTCTTAAGGTTTTTGGACTGCAACTCCCAGAAGCCTTCACCACCAACTGTGCTGGCTGGGGTTTCTGGGAGTTGCAGTTCAAAAACATCCGAGTAACAAAGGTTAAGAACCACTGGCTAACTGAATATTTAAGAGCATGTACCTCTTAACAGCATGTTTGTACCTCTGCAGAAAGCAGTACTTTCATGCTGCATCCTCTCAATTAGTAACTGCAGGGAAGACATCACTCCTGAATACTTTTGTGATTGGATGGCTGAATTACTATCAACACAAAGAGATGCCACTGTATTACCTATTAGGGTGAGGCTACCTGTTTGTCTATCATACTTGTTAATTAAAATAATCATGTACCATATAGTCAATTTGACTTATTGTGACCCTTTTTCAGGGTTTTCCAGGATTGGGAACAACAAGAAGTGGTTTAGCATTCCCTTCTTCGGTGGTGGTGATGGGGGATCCTGTGTGACTTTCAGATCATAATTAAAATAATCATGTACCATATAGTCAATTTGACTTATTGTGACCCCTTTTCAGGGTTTTCCAGGTAGGGAACACCCGGAATTGTTTAGCATTCCCTTCTTCGGTGGTGGTGGTGGGGGACCCTGTGTGACCTGCATTTCAGATCACCACCAGGTTTTACAACTGTCAATCAATTTGGTAACTAATGATTCAGGGATATATTGTGGGCAATGTTTTCTGTTTCTTTAAAACAGCTGTTATTGGGTTTTTTTAATTGTGTTGGATAACCATTTATCTTACATCTCACATCTTCTTCTGATTTGTGTTTTTACTTATTGCTCCCCCCAAAGAAGGGGGGACAACAACTGTTATTGGGTTTTTTTAATTGTGTTGGATAACCATTTATCTTACATCTCACATCTTCTTCTGATTTGTGTTTTTACTTATTGCTCCCCCCAAAGGGGGGGCACCTCAATTTATACGTGGGGCAGCCTTTGAAGACGGTCCGACAACAGCAACTGGCACAGAACCGGGCTGTGGTGCCACCGAACGGACTCATATCACGCCAGTTCTGAAAAATTTACACTGGCTGCCGGTTGCTGCTGGGGCCCAATTCAAAGTGCTTTCTTTGACATATAAAGCCCTAAACGGCTTAGGACCTGGTTACCTAAAGGACCGCCTTCTTCCATATGAGCCTGCCCGTCCTCTAAGATCAGGCCAGGAGGCCCTTCTGAAGGTGCCATCCCTGAAAGAGGTGAGGGGGATGGCATGTCGAAATAGGGCCTTCTCGGTTGTTGCGCCCCAACTTTGGAATGCCCTCCCTAGAGAGATCCACCTGGCTCCAACACTCTTGGCTTTTCGGCGCCAGGCAAAGACCTTTCTGTTTAGCCAGCATTTTAATTAAACAATATTCCCTAGCTGGCCATATGAGCAGCAGGACTTATTAATTTTAATGTTTTAAGAATTATTTTAATATATGCTATTTTATATTGTCTTTTAAAATGTTTTTAATGTTTTTAAGTTTTAATGTTGTACGCCCCCCAGAAGCCACTGGCAATGGTGCGGCTAAAAATATTGTAAATAAAATAAAGTACTGTAAATAAATTTAAAGCAAGAAAATCATAGTTGAAGCTCTATCCCCACCAGGAAGTAAGGAAACTGAGATTATAAATCATTTCCCCAAATATTGGTACATTAATGCACCATTATTGTACATTAACCTCCACTCTAAGTAAAGTAGAAGAGGTGAGCTCCACTCTTTGGGAAGAAAATGCCTCATCTTTCTAAGGGCTAAGCCCATGAAACTGGTAAAGATCAGTGACTTTTCTTGCTTTCTAAAACAGGAATGCATAAATGTTTTAATGTTGATACAAAGAAAGAAAGAAAGAAAGAAAGAAAGAAAGAAAGAAAGAAAGAAAGAAAGAAAGAAAGAAAGAAGTCTATCTTCACTAAACGACCTAGAGCTATTGCTTTTTTTAAGGCACTTTACCAATAAACAGTGCCATCAACACCAGGAAAGGCACGCTGGTCTTATCAATTTTTTCAGAAGAGTTGAACCTTCAAAAAAATCATATCCAAGAGTTGCCATTCAAACCTCTCAAAGAGCCAGAATCTGCATATCACAAGGCATTACTCACAGCTGGTATGCTACTGAAGGTTTTCCTCCAGGCAACACATTCCAGATGAGAAATGTTTCACTGAAAAGTAGTCCTAACCAAGGGACCTTAGGTTTAGGAAACCATACTTTTTACCACATAATTGCCATTCTAAATTGTCCATTCAAGTACATGGCCACAAGTAGAAATGTCAAGCTTTCCAAAGATATCAGGACTGGTAGCTTAAAACGGTCACATCAATGAATAATGACTGTCACAAAAAAGTTGTCCCACCACCAAAAACACACACACACAATACAAACAAACACAAACAAACAAAAACCAATGTCCACTCAAAAAGGAAAGACACCAAAATCTGCAAGACTAGTTTCTGTGAGGGGAAAACCATGAAAACCTCTAATCTACCATAACTGTATGGCGGCTAAAGCAACTGAACAATTTTCACCTCATCTTTTCTCCAGGCAATGGGCATTTTGGAATTTTTCACTACAAGAGTTCACCAGAAATTCCCCCAGTTGGAATTCTGGTAGCTTTAGCAAAAGAAAAGAAAAATTCAAGTCCTCAAAGGAGTTTCACTATACAGTGTTACCTCACTTAACGAGGAAATCGCTGTACGATTAGGTTTTTGCGATCGCTTTTGCGATCCCAAAACGATGGTTTAAATGGGGGTTTTCCGCTTTGCGATCATCGGTTCCCTGCTTCGGGAACCGATTTTTGCTTTACGACGATCAGCAAACAGCTGATTGTCGGGTTTCAAAATGGCCGCCGGCTGAAGAAAATGGCCCCCCGCTGTTTTCTAGGACGGATTCCTCGCTTTACAGGCACCAAAAATGGCCGCCGTATGGAGGATCTTCACTGGATGAGCAGGTATTCAGCCCATTGGAACGCATTGAACAGTTTTCAATACATTTCAGTTGTTTTTTTTTATTTCCATTGAACGGTTTTCAATACGTTTCAATAGTTTTTTTTATTTCGTTTTGATGACGTTTTCGCTCTACAGCGATTTCGCTGGAACGAATTAACATCATCAAGCGAGGCACCACTGTACACATCTGAGACTTGGCAAATTTCTCTCTGCAGCAACAGTTATTAAGCATGGAGAAGGATGTGGGCGGAGCTTTCCAAAGTCCATGAGAGCTGCAAAGCATTAGAGGACTGGTAGGTTTTTGAAAGGTACCATATAGAGAGTCTAATGAACAGAAATACTCTCCCCTAATGATTTGCAGCTGCCACAGAGATTAGCAAGTTCCACCCATGACTGCCTCCATGCTAAATGGCCATCACTGCAGAGAGAACCTTTTCCAAAGAAGTACCTATCTGAAACCCCTCTGAGAACTTCAGACTTTTGGCTAAAGCTACCAGATTTCCCACGGGGTGAGGGTATTCTTCCTGAATTCTGGTGGCTGTTAGGAAAATAATATCCCCAAACCCCATGCCTACAAACAGCTCCATTTCAGTCAGGCGTATATGAGTCTCCTCCCTCTCCTTTTATACTCACAGCAAGCATGTGGGGTAGATCAGACTAAGAGAGCTATGCCTGGCTGAAACTCACCAACAATATCAGACGGCTCAGTGGAAAACTAGAATCTAGATCTCCTGCATCCTAAGCTGACTAATCACTACTCTGCACTGACTGTCAAAAGGTTATCACTGTTGCTGGTTTTAATGGTTCCTGTGCAGACTTCAATGAAAATCTGTCAACAAGTACATGCAGAGAAAGTTTATGGTGTGGGCGTCTCCCCATTCCCCAGTCACAAGCTGCCCACAGGAGTATAGCCAATGGATAAGTCAAAATGGACATGAAACTGAACAAAACAAGTGATATGGACAAAGCAGACCTAAGAGGCTGTCCTAGGTGTAGGTGGAACCCATGCACATTCTGAGAAGAAGCCTTTGCAAACAGCCTGCATTCCAGAGCAACTTATGCAAAAAGGAAACTTTTAAATCTATTATTGTTGCTGCAGCACTAACACAGCTAACTTTCCTTAGCCATGTTGGAATGGAAGTCCATTGACCCCTTGCAGAAATGTCTTTGTCCAGATCTAAACAGATATCATATTTCTATCAAGGGGCAAACAGAAGGACATCATTCCTTAAGGAGCCGAAACTGAAAAATCCATTACAATCTATGTACTGTATCAGTTACTGTGAGCCATTTTGTGACGCTCTCTCCAAAAAGCTTCTGTGAACTCTCTTCATCAACAGTCTTCATATAAACATGGCAAGGGTTGAAGCCAAGCATCTTCTGTGGCTAGAGTACAGCGCCACGTAGGCAGAGGACACGCCAGCGAGGGAGCTCCACGAATACCAGGAGTACAGCGCCACGTAGGCAGAGGACACAGCAGAACGATGCCACCTCCTTACCTGATCCAGTTGGTTGTAGAAGTCTATATTTGCTGCACACAAGTACCTCCCTAGCAGTGTAGCATGAGTTGTGAAGATGGTTGCGATAGGGATCTTCCTGAATCGAGAAAGAATCAGACCAGGTCCCGCTTGCCATTCATGGAAGTGGGCAATGACGTTGGGCTTGTCTTCCAACTGATCCGTGAGCTGTACAGAAGCATAAAACAGCACGTTAGTTGAGCTACGGTGTTTCAAGCTTTTATTTTTTCCAAACTAAAAGAGCAAAGAGCATTTGCCACACACAACCCAGTCTTGTTTTATTAAAACATGCCCTTCAGCGTTATTTATTTATTTGATTTATATGCCGCCCACTCTACCCAAAGGTCTCTGGGCGGCTTACAACAATTAAAATACAATTAAAATACGATAAAAAGATAAAACAATTAAAATACAATTGAATATAATTACTGTTATCATTAGCTTGATTGACAGATTTAGGCCTTTGGTGTGTGTGTGTGTGGAGAGGTGGCAACGATATCTTGTCCGATATGAGCAAAGGTGGCATATGCTATACTGTACACAACCTGAAAGATTATGTACACTATAGTATTATGTCACATTTATTGAAAGATGGTTACAGCAGCTCAAGAATTAAATACGAATAAACAAATTAAGCCTTTTTTTGCTTCCTGCACAACTGGTACCAACATCACAAAAAGCGGCAGGGACATCTAGAACACACAATATCAGAGGCCGAAGAACATCCAATATATTTCAAGCAAACCCCCAATGTTATACCCTACTAACTTCCACAAACTCCAAAAAAACACACCTCTTTTAAGGTTCCTAGTCTCGGGATTAAGGTTCCTAGCCTTGGGAAAGAAGACACTGCATATTAAAGAATGTTGAACCTCCATAATGAAGATTTGGGAGTTTAGGTTCTACTTTGGAGGGTTTCAGTTTCGATCCAGATATTGCCCGAATCTTTCTGAAGCAACCCAAATCAATCTGCATTTGACCCAGTGTGAACAACATCCCCAGCTTCTATGGACCACAGTGGAAATACTTGAAGCAGCTGTGAAGGATTTGGAATTGTATGGATCTGTGGTAAGTGAAGAACTCAGAACTGCATAAAGGTCACTAACACATGCAAGGGTTCAATACAATACCTCTTTCAAGAACCAGGCAGTTAATGACCCAAAGATGAGTGCATCATTTGCTTCTCGGTCATGGTAAGGGATTCCAATGCTACTGGCATCCCAGAATTCTCCTTTCCATCTGTCCAGATTCCAGGCGGCCGAACTTATATCGAACAGCACCACATATGGGCTACCTTCTATGAGCCACCGCCCAAAATGGACCTGTCAAAGGAGGCAAGAGTGTTAGAGCTGTCTCATCGATGTCCAACCTTTAGAAATCAGGCTCCCTGTTCCTTCAGTTCATGCCCCATGATGATATGCCAGAACTTGCCAAGAGGGCCACACGCTGTACATATTTCAGGGTGGTTGCCGGGTTATCAATAGTCATTTATGTTGACAGGAGCTCCATGGCGCAGCGGTTAAACTACAGTACTGCAGCCAAAACTGTGCTCATAACCCCACTGTTATAAAAATAGACCGTAGTTCATATAAGAATCCAGTTTTACTCAGTAATTTGGGGCATATTACTTTACAGCCAGGGAGGAACCTCGTAGCAAAGTGGTTAGACTGCAGTACTGCAGCCAAAACTCTGCTCACAACCCAGCTTCAATCCCAGTTAACTAGCTCGAGGTTCACGCAGCTATCCATCCTTCCAAGGTCAGGAAATTGAGTATCCAGCTTGCAGGGAGGGGCAATGTGTAGCCTGCAAAATTCAAATGTAAACCACTCAGAGAGTGCATGTATATACTGTATTTTTCCATGTATAAGACTATAGTTTTGTCTAAAATATTTAGAATAAAAATTGAGGGTCGTCTTATACATGGAAGTAAGCTGAGCAGAGAACAAAAACAAGTGGAGGGGAAAGCAGGGATCAAAGCGATCCTCCAGCGCTTTGATCCCTTTTCCCCTACACTTGCTAAGCCCCACTTAGATTTCTTAATTTTGAATTAGAAAAGTGGGGGCGTCTTATATATGGGGGCATCTTATACACGGAAAAATACGGTATATGTTCGGGAAACTTTGGTGGGCACAGGCATCAATTTGACATACACACCAGGATCTGAATTTTCACTGAAAATGCAATTTTAATTTATTATTTTCAAAACTGAAAGGGGTAGGAAATTAACCTTGGCGGTTTCGGGAACTAGAGAAATGCCATATACACACTGAAGGAAGCACATGTTCTCTGCCTGTGAGAACCTCCACTCCTGGGGAATTCCCAGAGTGCCAACTGTCATGGGAGGGAAACTATATATTTCAGAACAGGAGTCTGGGTGAGTCCATGGTAGCAGAAACAGGCAAGTCTGGAAGTAAAGCGTTTCCCATCACACCTGTGAAGACTACAACTTTTCTCTGGCAAATCTTTTATGACTCTTGTGTCTGGAACTCACATCCCAAACACATCCTTGGCCCCACCTGTCCTTCCTCAAAATCTCCTTTTCTTATCAGCTTTTCAGTATAACCCGTTAATCTTCATTTTGAGATGAAACAAAGATTGAGAAAAGCCTTTCCCTGCTCACTGTCCTCTAGATAACCTGGAACAAAGTCCCCACCTGCGAAAAATAAGCAAACAACGAATTTCCTCTCCCATTTGCACCAGCCATATCTGGTAGGAACAGCTATCCTGTTATAGAGATTACCACAATGACACTTTTCAAACATTTGAAAGATACAGAGGATGGCCATGATCTATTCTCGATCACAAAACACCTAACAGTGGGTTCAGGAAGACAGATTTTAGCTGAATATCGGGGAAAACTTCCTAACTGTTAAAGCAGTATGATAACGGAATCAATTGCCTTGGGAGGTGGTGAGTGCTCCAACACTGGAAGCATTCAAGAGAAAATTGGAAAATCAACTGTCATATCTGCTTTGATATGGGGTCCTGCATTCATTCATTCATTCATTCATTCATTCATTCATTTGGCTTTTACCCCGTCCATCTAGATTAAAACGAATCTACTCTCGGTAGCTTACAATCCGAGCAATATAAAACAAGAATTAAAACAGACAATATCCAAACAAAAAAGAGAAGTAAGCAAGTCCAAGTTGGGAAAACTCAGAGAAATAACTGATGAAAGGGGGGAAGCTCTGCCTGAAGAACCAAGTCTTCAGCTTGTTCTTAAAAACCCCCTTGAGCCAGGGGTTGGACTTGATGGTCTCATAAGCCCCTTCTAACTCTATGATTCTATGACCTCTCTGCCATATACAGTAGTACCTCGGTTTGTGAACGCCTCAGTTTACGTAATGTTTGGTTTACGAACTGAAATCCATAAGAAATAAAGCCCCGGTTTATGTTGCTTTCCTTTCTTTTTTTCGCACTACGAAAGGGTTTTCCCAGGACGCATTGTGACTATAGCGCCACCCCTTTCGTAGCGCAATTGGCGTTTTGGTTTGCGAAATTTCCATACTACGTAATGTCGCCTAGAATGGATCCGTTTCGCAAATTGAGGTACTACTGTATACGATAAAGATCAGGAGCCTCTCGGGGGGGAAAAAGATATAACTACTCAGATGAAAAAAGATTCAGCGTTCACATATGTAGTGCCTTCCATGTAGAACACATTCCTTCAGTGGAGAAGTATCCAATCACAAAATATGAAGTAATTAGCCAAAATAGGAAGTAAAATAACCAAAGGACTGATTTACCACATGAGTAAAAACTATGCCTCAGTTACACATTCTCCCAATCTCTGTCCACCAACATCAAAGGCCACCCATATTTTCTTGCACTCTGAGTGAGGACGGAAGTTCCTTGTTAATGGTTGTTATCATTATTTTCAAAACTGAAAGGGGTAGGAAATGAACCTTGGAGGGTTCGGGAACTAGAGAAAGGCCATATACACAATGAAGGAAGCACATGTTCTCTGCCTGTGAGAACCTCCACTCCTGGGGAATTCCCAGAGTGCCAACTGTCATGGGAGGGAAACTATATATTTCAGAATAGGAATCTGGGTGGGTCCATGGTAGCAGAAACAGGCAAGTCTGGAGGTAAAGCATTTCTCGTCACACCTGTGAAGACTACAAATTTTCTCTGGCAAATCTTTTATTACTCCTGTGTCTGGAACTCATATCCCAAACACATCCTTGGCCCCACCTGTCCTTCCTCAAAATCTCCTTTTCTTATCAGCTTTTCAGTATAACCCGTTAATCTTCATTTTGAGATGAAACAAAGATTGAGAAAAGCCTTTCCCTGCTCACTGTCCTCTAACCTGGAGCAAAGTCCCCACCTGCAAAGAATAAGCAAACAACAAATTTCCTCTCCCATTTGCACCAGCCATATCTGGTAGGAACAGCTATCCTGTTATAGAGATTACCACAATGGCATTTTTCAAACATTTGAAAGATACAGAGGACGCCCATGATCTATTCTCGATCACAAAACACATAACTTTTCTTCAAGTCTCTGACTTCTCCCTTAATCTTTCCACTATGGCTCTGCTTAAAATAACTGCATTTAGTAATCTGCTACTCATCCTCTAGTTTCCCATCACTCACTCCTGTGCATTTAGGATTAAATCACCCCAAATGATGAACCTTCAATAGCCATCTCTTCTGTTCTTTCTTCTTCTGCACAGAAAGGATACTTATCTTGTGTCGGGGCAGAGGGTTGGAACAGATGCTCTTCACACGCCTGGCAATTACATTATTGTTATGTCAGGGAGCAGCTGAGGGGCCGTAACAACATTTTTGTTAGTGCTGACTGATTAAGGATGATCATTTTTTGGTTTGGTTGTATGGTTGGTTTCATACTACGTAATGAAAGCAGTGAGTAGTGATTTCACTAATTTATAAACTGAAAGAAAGAAAGAAAGAAAGAAAGAAAGAAAGAAAGAAAGAAAGAAAGAAAGAAGAAAGAAAGAAAGAAAGAAAGAAAACCCGTTACTGCTTTCAGTCAATTAAACCCTGAATTACTGTTATTGAATGTTTCCAAACTCTGTTCCTTGCCGTCTGCACGAGGGTTCATCAACAAACCTTGCAGAGAAATGACCTAGGGCAAGTCATTAAACCTGTCTAATCTCTTCAGAGGATTTATCATTCATTTGCTTGCTTATTACATAATTACATGTATATCTTCTATCTTCTTTCAGAACCCGTCTCCCATCTAGGCACTGACCAGGTCCCGTCCTCCTTAGCTTCGCCCTTCAGGTACCTTTACATTAGAGCAGGTAACTTGTCATTTTCTCTCACTGCCACTCCCGTAATCTCTACCCATTGGCCTTGCTAGGTAGGACTGACCGGCTGGCAGTGCTTGAAAAGTTACTTTCAAAGCATAATCAGTTAAAAGCCTGTTGGTCCCCCCCAAAACAGTTTGAATGGAAGACTGTGAGGTCTGAATAAGATAAAGGTCATGCCCCTCTCAGGAGAAGATGGGAAAACACATTTGCCATGCATTCAGTTTAAAAATTAAAAAATTAATAACCATCTGGAATGGGTCAACACATTATTATGTATTTTTGAATGCATTATGCCTTTCCTCCCCTTCACGGATTGCTGCTTTGTCATGGCGAAGGGGCTTGAGTCATTCAGACACCCAAGATGGACAGGTCATAGTGGAGAGTTCTGATTAAACGTGATCCACCCGGTCCAGGTAGGTGGGGCTTGTCAGCCTTGGATAGCAACCCATCTAGGAGAAGGAAAACTCCAATTTCAAACCTCCACTGCCTTATGGCTATATCCGCTGATGGAAAAGGCTTCAGGAGTAAACCTCGAGGCAAAATCCGGAGCCGGAGTCCCAGAGGCAGTTCATGTCGTTCTGGCAACTCCTGTGAGGTGGCTGGAACCAGTTGTATTGGCTCTTGCCTTTCCACTGGACTATTTCAGCGATGTGGAGAGGGGGGATTTGCTCCTTGGGTAACAGCCTATCCTCCATATTTACCCAGGCTTTGTGCTGTGAAGGCTCCATATTACTTTACCCAGGCTTTGTGCTGTGGAGGGGACACTCATACAAAGTGCATTACCATGGTCTTTCGAGACTGAAGGATGCCTAAGAATAGAATTTTAAAAATGCTTTTCCTAGAGACCATCACAATGAGAAAATAGTAAGGATGAGGACTTGAGTCGTGATCCTAGAGACCATCACAATGAGAAAATAGTAAGGATGAGCACTTGAGTCATGAGACATGCTGTCAAGTCAGACTTATGTTGCACCAGTGACTCGACTCAGAATTGACTCAGAGGTTGTGTTTGTTTTTTTTCAATGACTTGGCCTCAATTTGTGACTCAGAAGCCACTTACCCCTTCCCTTTTTTGGGGGATGGGTGGGTTTGTTTTTAACATCACAATGAGAAAATAGTAAGGATGAGCACTTGAGTCATGAGACATGCTGTCAAGTCAGACTTATGTTGCACCAGTGACTCGACTCAGAATTGACTCAGAGGTTGTGTTTGTTTTTTTTCAATGACTTGGCCTCAATTTGTGACTCAGAAGCCACTTACCCCTTCCCTTTTTTGGGGGATGGGTGGGTTTGTTTTTAATAGGGACTTGGGACTCAGAACTCAATACTGAAGTTCAGACTTGGGACTTGGTACCAAAGACTTAAACTTGGACTTGGGAGTCATACCCAAAGACTTGTGAACATCCCTGGAAAACAGTGCAAGCTTCGCCACTTGCCATGTTCAGGATGTTTGAGGGTTGGGGGAGGGTTGTTTGGGTTTTTTGTGTGTGTTACCTTTGATAAACAAAATGTGTCTGGAACAACAATGGGCCCAACAAAAATATTTTTTCCCCGCATTAGGGTATTTATTTGTCCCATCTGATTCCCCCATATTGCCACTGTCCCAAAGGATTTCCCCCACTCCAGTTTGGTCTACGGGCTGTAACTATCCTAACCCTCATACTAGAACTAATTTTCAATAAGTGGAATTCCCACTCAATTAGAAAACATTCCATAGTCCTACAGAAATGGCTCTAAAAAATCCTAATGGATGAAAGTTAATTCGCTACTCAACACTAATATTTTAGAAAATAATTTTCTGGAGAGAACTTTACTCAACCACTATTTTAACAATCCGAAAGAGACAAGTATAGGTAGGGTTTACTAAATTAGAGGTTTAGTTCTTCCTTTACTGACAGACTCAATCAGAAAAAAAATCTTCCTTAAGTGCAAAGACAAGAATGGATTTCTGTTCTTCAGTGTGAATGTTAAATGTTGATGATAATGTCATATTTTGTTTCTTTGAAAATACTTATTTTCACCTTTACATCAAAACCAATGAATCCATTTTCAAATTCCTTAAAATATTCAAACAATTTGAAACAAAAATATTAAAGGAAATGTGTTCATATAAGGAAAAAATTGGAAGTAAGCAGGGAAAGCTACTCCAGAATGTGTGTTTCTGAAACATACAGTCGTGCCCCGCTTAACGATTACCCCACATTATGACGAATCCACTTCACGACAATGTTTTTGCGATCGCAATTGCGATTGCAAAACGATGTTTTAAATGGTTTTTTTTCCGCTTTGCGAAGATCGGTTCCCTGCTTCGGGAACCGATTCTTTGCATTACGATGATCAAAACAGCTGATTGTCGGGTTTTCAAAATGGGTGCCAGGTGCTCAAAATGGCTCCCCACTGTGCTTAGGGACGGATTCCTCGCTATACAGGCACTGAAAATGGCCACCGTATGGAGGATCTTTGCTGGACAGTGAGTTTTTAGCCCATTGGAATGCATTAACCAGGTTTTAATGAGTTTCAATGGTTTTTTTATTTTTTGCTTTACGACGTTTTCGCTCTACAGCGATTTCACTGGAACGAATTAATGTCGTTAAGCGAGGCACCACTGTATTACAGATTCATTTTTAATTTACACATATCCTAAACCTAATTACTATACAATTGGGTTCATATACCCATAAACACTTTTATGCACTTGGCAGGGGTGTACAATTCTGTGGCCAAAGCCCTGTTGCTTAATGTAGTGAATCCCACTAGATTAGGCCTATTGAATAAATGGGGATTTGGTGAGTCAACTTCTTTGTCAGTTCTATTGATTCAAACAGGCCCACTCTAACTTCAACCTACCATGCCAAAGTAAACTTACACCTCCTTCTCTTTCCCCAAATTTTTTTCCCTTGGGTAACAGCCTATCCTCCATATTTACCCAGGCTTTGTGCTGTGAAGGGGACACTCATACAGAGCGCATTACCATGGTCTTTCGAGACTGAAGGATGCCTAAGAATAGAATTTTAAAAAATGCTTTTCCTAGAGACCATCACAATGAGAAAATAGTAAGGATGAGGACTTGAGTCGTGAGACATGCTGTCAAGTCAGACTTAAGTTGCACCAGTGACTCGACTCAGAATTGACTCAGAGGTTGTGTTTGTTTTTTTTCAATGACTTGGCCTCAATTTGTGACTCAGAAGCCACTTACCCCTTCCCTTTTTTGGGGGATGGGTGGGTTTGTTTTTAATAGGGACTTGGGACTCAGAACTCAATACTGAAGTCTCAGACTTGGGACTTGGTACCAAAGACTTAAACTTGGACTTGGGAGTCATACCCAAGGATTTGTGAACATCCCTGGAAAACAGGGCAAGCTTCGCTACTTGCCATGTTCAGGATGTTTGAGGGTTGGGGGGGGGGTTGTTTGGGTTTTTTGTGCGTGTTACCTTTGATAAACAAAATGTGTCTGGAACAACAATGGGCCCAACAAAAATATCAACTCCTTTGTCAGTTCTATTGATTCAAACAGGCCCACTCTAACTATAACCTACCATGCTAAAGTAAACTTACACCTCCTTCTCTTTCCCCAAACTTTTTTTAAAAATTATTATTTATTTATATTTCTAAAGAATGAAAAGACAACCCGCCATATTACAAATAATACATATAAAGCTATTCTCCACAATTCTCCGAATCACATTTATACCACGTTAACTTTATTCCAATTTTTATCTTTCACCCACTTATCTTTATCCCAAATGTTTTGAGGCCTTCTATCTCAAAAGGCAGCATTATGGGTAGGTTTGCTATGGAGACCACTTCTGCCACAGATGCACATGCCATCGTCACAATCATCCAATTCATTGTGACCTTTCAAGAACAATGTTCTGGACTGTGGCACACCAAGGATTTCTCTGCAGCTGCAGTAGAAGAAAAATACAGTGGTGACTCGCTTAACGATGCCTCGTTAAACAACGAAACCGCTATACAATTACTGTTTTGCAATCGCTTTTGCAATCGCAAAACGATGTTTTAATAGGCAAAATCCGCTTTGCGACGATCGGTTCCCTGCTTCGGGAACCGATTCTTTGCATTATGATGTTTTTAAAACAGCTGATCGACGGCTTCAAAATGGCCACCTGCTGTGTAAAATGGCTCCCCGCTGTATTTTTGGACGGATTTCTTGCTATACAGGCTCCGAAAATGGCTGCCCTTATGGAGGATCTTCGCTGGACGGTGAGTTTTTCAGCCCATTGGAATGCATTGAACGGGTTTTCAATGGGTTTCAATGGGACTTTTTACTTTGCTTAACGAGGATTTCGCTCTACAGCAATTTCGCTGGAACGGATTATCCTCGTTAAGCGAGGTACCATGTAACGGATACAGCTTCCCAGAGATCCCCTATGTCGACGAATTATCCTCGTTAAGCGAGGCACCATGTAACTGGTACAGCTTCCCAGAGATCCCCTATGTTGCATGCAGTGTTGCATCCATAGTGGAGAGATTGGCCACAGCTGGTCAGTGAAGCAGTGGTGGGCTCCATCTTGACGACCAAGGTTCTCTATAATAATAATTTTAAAAAAAAAAAACCTCACATTCTGGTACCGGAAGTAGGCAGCTTATCCTTCCTCATGGGAGGGCTGGATCTGGCTGGGTCTTATTGAATCTTGTTTAATTTTACTTCCCTTCATCTAGTGTGACCATTTTTGTCTGATCACTGGAAGTGCAAAACACTGTCCTGTTGGTGAAATTCTCCTCTCTCATCTGACATTTTGCCATATTTATTCACAACATTAAAAACCAAACAAACACTAATGTGCTGCTTATATACCACCCCATAGCATTTAAAGTACTCTCTGGGCAGTTTAAAAGTAATTATGCAGGCTACACATCCGCCCACCCCTGTGAGTTGGGTACTCATTTTACTGACCTTGGAAGGATGGAAGCCTGAGTGAACCTTGAGCTGGCTACCTGGGATTGAACCCTGGGCCGTGAGCACAGTTTTGGCTGTGGTACAGGAGTTCAACCACTGTGCCACGAGGCTCACCACATAAGCTTCTACATTTCCTTATCCATCTCGCACAGAATAGCCAAAGAATAACGCAACAACCCAGTCAGTCAGACTAAGGTCATACTGTGTCGATAGAAATCTGACTGTATTATCCGGGGACTGGAAAACTAAGACTCAAATCCCACACTAAGACGACTTGCAGATAAATTACTCTTATAACATATAATTGGATGAACAGGTTCCTTCCTCAAAAATAACCTGTAAGGAATTGACTTTGCAGGGCTAACACCTGTGCAGAACGGTAGGGGGGAGGCAGTTCAGTCTTGCCTAGAGTAACTTTGACCGAGACTCTAGTGTGTCCGGGAGAAGACAAGAGCATTAAGTGAATCAGTTAATCTCCTACAGGCAGCTTAGTTGCTTCAGGAAACAAAAGGAAGATCTCATTTACCTGACATCCATCGCCCCTCATGGTATCCATGGCCTTTTTCACCGCCGGGCTCGGAGGCTCACAGACTTCCACCTGAGTCTTCATGTTGTGCTCAAAATAAGGGCCGATGAGGAAGTAGTTTTCTCCCCATTCATCAAATGTAATTTTGGCTTTGGTCTGGATCACAGTGTAGATACCACCAACTGGGAAAGAATAAATATAACAAGTAAGTTCCAAACCAATGAGCCACTACCCTTTCACCTCATCCAAAAGGCAGGCTGCAGTTACAACATTTCAAATTCAAACTAGCTTGACCGACATTTCCTTTCCATTCCTTGAATGATCACGCATTAAATATCAGCATTTTCCATGTATAAGTTGCCCCCATGTATAAGACGCCCCCCCCCCCACTTTTCTAACCCAAAATTAAGAAATCTAAGTGGGGCTTAGCAAGTGGAGCCTTGCAGGATCACTTTGATCCCTGCTTTCCTCTCCACTTATTTTTGTTCTTTCCTCAGCTTACTTCCGTGTATAAGACGACCTGGAAAAATATGGTATTTCAGAGATTCCACCCCCCCAACTCTAGCTAAGGATGTTTTACCGAATTAGTCATACGGTGTGATCTAATAGCAAAAAGGTGCACGTCCCATCTCCCTTAAAACAACCCTTTAGGAGATTCGTTTTAGCCCGACTCCCAAAATTTGTAGCCCTACTGCTAGACTAAAAAGGGCCAGTTTGGGCACGGATCAGAGTCAGGTTGGAGAGCTATTCCCTATATACTCTGTGACTGCTGAAAAATGGCTTACACCAGACCGCGCTGCATGTGGTCCAAAATGTGAGCTATATGCCCGTGAGATCAGATCCACGAGTGAGAAAAGTTACTTTTCTGGACTGTAACTCACCAAATCCACTGGCCAGTCTTGGCAAGGGATTCTGAGAGCTCTACTCCGAAACAGTGCTCTCCTCTGACTCTGATTATTCAGTAATTTTATCAACATGAGAAAGTTCTTTGACTTCTCTACTAAGGACACTTGCATAACGTTCAGGATTTTGTTACTCTGCTCTAAAAGAGCACCCACAGGATACGGATCCTCACACTCAAACCAAAGTCAAAAGTGAAGCCACCGTTTGCTGTTTATGGGGCACAAGTCAAAGCTATTCCTCCATCCTGAAGGCGACACTCAAAAAAACCTCTCTACCAGGGCATGGGGAGATGATGCATTATGACACTATCCAAGGACATTACAGGGATTTTAAAATGGTAACTGTGTGGGAATGTTGGAGGTCTGTGCCATCATCCTTGAAATCCATCACATCTTCATCTCATGTAAAAGTCAGTAAGTGGCTATAAGCCATGCTTCTGCAAACCAGGATATGGCGGTTTGAGAGCTTGATCCCTCTGACAATAACAGTCACTATTGTGTTGTGTTCTACTTTTTTAAAAAAATGGTTTAAACCAAGGAGCCTCTATGACGTGAACAAAAGAATGGATTATTTTGTCAGGAAGCTGTGTTTTCAGATTGAAAAGCAACGTAAAATACTCTTCTGCCAGAGGGAAACCCAGTTTGTTTCAATTGTTTCCACATACATAAATCCTTCTTGAAAGTTTTTTTTTTATTTAATGGACTGTTGTGGCGTGTTGCTTTTAAATGTGTTTTTCATATTAATTTTATTTACCGTTTTAAATACAACATTTGTTTAATTGTTTTAAAACTATTTGTACACTTACTGTATTTGCTTTTAAATATTGCCTTTTTAATGATGTTAAAGGCCTTGGGTCCTTTTCAAGGAGAAAGGCGGAGTAAAAATATTTTGAACAAATAAACAAAGAAATATTCTTCCTTGAAAACTTTTGAAACAGTGATATTCCCTCTTCAGATTCAGAAGGCACACAAAATCAGTCAGCTAGTAGTCTGGATATTTCTGGAGTAACATTTCCAAGCTCTGTTCAGATATGATGAAAGGCACTGAAATAAGAATTAACTGTCAGTCTGGCCAAGATTTTACAGGGTTTTTTGGCTCTGACAGAGCCATGTTTTTGGCTAGGACACCCCCACGAAATGAAGAAACCGCAAGACGATTCCTTTTTGTGATCGCTATACCGATTCGCAAAAAGGCATTTCAATGGGGTTTTTCACTTTACGACGATTTGGTCCGTGCTTCGCGGACTGTTTATTCGCAATACGATGATCAGTTAGTTAAATAAATAAATAAATAAATAAATAAATAAATAAATACTGCCCCCTGCTCTATTGATAACATTGCCCTCTATCCATGGCTTAAAAGGATCAGCCTGTGGTGGAAGAAACAGCTTCCTATCTAGAAGTTTTTTCTTTACATTACAGACTTTACAGGAAGGAGTTTCTGGAACTAAATGAGTTCATTTCAAGGTCCATTCGACTTAAGGAGCCACGACGGTCTGCTGGACTCCGCGTAAGCAATTAGCAAATGTAAACTTGCCAGCATTGGCTTCCAGGACCTCACCTTGAGCTTTCAGAAATAGACAGTGACCCAGTAATCTTGCTCCAAGCATTGCAGTGCAGTTCCACTCAGGCTGCTATGTGTCAAGTCTTGGCGGCATAGGGATTCAAATGGCTCAAAGGCTAATTAGCTTCTGTCTAGGAATCTCGTAACTTCTGCCTCTCTCTTGGTGATAACCTAGGCTTGGGAGCAAGCGGGGGGACCCACGAAATTGAGATACTTTATCATAATAAGTAAAACAACACCCCCTTACTACTCATTCATGTACTCTCTTGTCTCCCACCACAACCGCCCAGATGTTCTAGCATCCATAATGTACAACACTGGGAGTAAATATAGCCTTGCATTCCCAGTGTTTGGCCTGGTGTGCTGTAGGGCAGTGGTCCCCAACCTTGGGCCTCCAGATGTTCTTGGACTACAACTCCCAGAAGCCTTCACCACTACCTCTGCTGGCCAGGATTTTTGGGAGTTGAAGTCCAAGAACATCTGGAGGCCCAAGGTTGGGGACCACTGCCCTACAGCACACCAGGCCAAACACTGGGAATGCAAGGCTATATTTACTCCCAGTGTTGTACATTATGGATGCTAGAACATCTGGGCGGTTGTGGTGGGAGACAAGAGAGTACATGAATGAGTAGTAAGGGGGTGTTGTTTTACTTATTATGATAAAGTATCTCAATTCCATGGGTCCCCCCCTTGCTCCCAAGCCTAAGTTATCACCAAGATATGATGAAAGGCACTGAAATAAGAATTAACTGTCAGTCTGGCCAAGATTTTACAGGGTTTTTTGGCTCTGACAGAGCCATGTTTTTGGCTAGGACACCCCCACGAAATGAAGAAACCGCAAGACGATTCCTTTTTGTGATCGCTATACCGATTCGCAAAAAGGCATTTCAATGGGGTTTTTCACTTTACGACGATTTGGTCCGTGCTTCGCGGACTGTTTATTCGCAATACGATGATCTTTCCAGCTGATCGTCGGCTTCACAAAATGGCCTCCTGCTGTTTTCCGGACCCATGCTTCGGAAGACAGCAATTAAAAACAGCTGATCGGCGCTCGGAAAATGGCTGCCCTATGGAGGATCTTCGCTGGATGACGAGGTAATTTCCCCATTGGAATGCATTAACTGGTTTTCAATGCATTCCAATGGGGAAACTGTTTTCGCATGACGACTCTTTCGCTGTACAGCGATTTCAGGGGAACGAAGTATCGTAGTCATGCGGGGCACCACGGTACTTGCACCTTTTTCACCAGACTTGGCATATAAGCAAGCATTGCAGTGCAGTTCCACTCAGGCTGCTATGTGTCAAGTCTTGGCGGCATAGGGATTCAAATGGCTCAAAGGCTAATTAGCTTCTGTCTAGGAACCTCGTAACTTCTGCCTCTCTCTTGGTGATAACTTAGGCTTGGGAGCAAGGGGGGGACCCATGGAATTGAGATACTTTATCATAATAAGTAAAACAACACCCCCTTACTACTCATTCATGTACTCTCTTGTCTCCCACCACAACCGCCCAGATGTTCTAGCATCCATAATGTACAACACTGGGAGTAAATATAGCCTTGCATTCCCAGTGTTTGGCATGGTGTGCTGTAGGGCAGTGGTCCCCAACCTTGAGCCTCCATGTGTTCTTGGACTTCAATTCCCAAAAATCCTGGCCAGCATAGGTAGTGGTGAAGGCTTCTGGGAGTTGTAGTCCAAGAACATCTGGAGGCCCAAGGTTGGGGACCACTGCTGTAGGGAATAAGAGAACTGATACAAACACTGAATTGCTTCACTAGGACCTATTAATTCGGTACAAAACGAATCTGGAAAATCCAGGGCAATATCACAGACGGATACAATGAAAAATAAATAACACCTCTGGGTTGAGCCTGTTTTGGGTTCCAATTCAACCCTAATCTTGAAAGCAGTACACACCCACATCAAATGCTGCACCAAAACATATGAAAGGTCTCTTGTTCTGAAGAGAAACAACATATAAAAACGTGTGTAAAGAAACAAAAGCTGACAGAAAAATTCGAACTACAGTAGCTGGGTGAAAAAAGTGTGAATGAAGTGCCATCGCTATGACCGGACAAATGCATATCTGTTATTTATCCATGATTTAATTATTAGTAAATATTAATTATCTTAAGTTAATAAATATTAAATATTCATATTATTAATACATATTAATTATGGAAATATTATGTATTTATTATTTATTCATTTCTATTATTATTAATCTATTTTTTTATTATTATATTTCTCTATTATTTAAGTGCATCTGTAAAGTGGAGGCTGAGGGCCTGATTTCTAGGACAGGGAGAATCTGGACTTTCAGGGGTCCCGATTCAGTCCTCTGGGGTTTCCTACAGGCCCATAACCTTTTCCTCATAACACCATTGCTAAAGGGATTCCCAGATTTTGTATATTTCCTCCCTTTATTCGCCAAGCTGAAATTCTCCTATGGCCTAGTTATTTACAGTAGAAGCTTCAAGCTAAAATACAGTGGGGTCTTGACTTGAGAACTTAATCCGTATTGGAAGGCGGTTCTCAAGTCAAAAAGTTCTCAGGTCAAATCTTCATTTCCCATAGGAATGCATTGAAAACCATTTGATCCGTATCTGCTCTTTTCCGTCCATAGAAACTAATGGGAAGCTGCTATTCCGCCTTCGACCACGAGAGGGGGATATTTTGTTTCTTTTTTTCTTAGGTCAAGAAAGGTTCAGAGAAGG